AAGAAATAAATTTTTTCAGAATATTCTGAAAGTTTATTAATTTTATATTGTAAATTAAACTAAAATTTCAATTAATCCGAAATTTAGATATTATTTATACTATTTATCATAGATGCTACAAATGGATGATTTTGCATCATCCGATTGTAAAATCAATGATATTTTGATCGTTCTTTAAGAATAATATAGAAAATTATTCTAAAGAAACGACTATGTATTGTTCTTTAAAAATGATATAGAAAATTATTCTAAAGGAATGATGATGTATCATTCTGAAAGAACGATAAAAAAAATTATTTTAAAGGAATAATAATGTATTGTTCCAATAGAACGATAACAAAAATCGTTCTAAAAGAATAATAAAAAAATTCATCATTCTTTCAGATTGATAATACATTATTCCTTAAAAATGATGAAAAATTCATTCTGAAAGAGCGATAAAAAATCATCGTTCTGAAAGAAAGATGAAAAAAATTGTTCTAAAGGATCGATGATGAATCAATCGTTCCAAAAGAATGATAAAAAATATTGTTCTAAAGGAACGATAATAAATCAATTGTTCCTTAAAAATGATGAAAAAAATGTTATTTAGAATGATAAAAAATATCATTCTAAAGGAACAATGATGAATCGTTCTAGAAGAATGATAAAAAATCATCATTCTAAAGGAATGATAATATTTCATTCCAATAGAATAATAACAAAAATTGTTCTAAAGGAATGATGATGTATCATTTCAAAAAATGATAAAAAAAAATTATTCTAAAGGAACAATAATGAATCATTCTAAAAGAACAATATCAAAAATCATTCTGAAAGAACGATAAAAAAATTATTATTCTTTTAGAATAATAATTAAATCGTTCCTTTGGAGACAATTCTATTTTCCTTTTAGGATGATTTCTATCTTTTTTTTGGAAATGAATATTTGTTCCTTTAGGAATGATTTCTATTGTTTCTTTGGAAATGAATGTTCATTCCTTTTGAAACAATTTTTATCGTCTTTTTGAGAATGATATTTCATTCTTTTAGAAATGATTTTTATCGTACGAATTCTATTGTTCTTTTGTGAATGAATATTTATTCCTTTTGAGATGATTTCTATTGTCTCTTTAGGAACGAATATTTATTACTTTTGAGATGATTTCTATCGTCTCTTTTGAGGATGAATGTATCTTTCCTTTAGGACAATTGTATCATCACTTTGAGATGATTACTCTCAAAATGTTTTTATAATTTTCGCAAAAATTGGCTCAACAGATTCAATCAGTAAGATATAGTCGATTTGTTGCCAAATCTTAAGTCTAACTGAAATTTTACTGAATATTATAACCGAAAGATCTTAATGCTAAAATAATGCTAAATTATGTGTGATATAACAAATTACTATCGATTTTTGTAATTTAAGCCAAATTTTTTCTGAATCTCATGACCGAATCGGCTGAATATTTGATGAAAGATTTATGCTGGAATAATGCTAAATTAGTTGTGTTGTAACAAATGACTATTGATTTTTGTAACTTAAGCTGAATTTTGCCAAATCATATGACTGAATCAGCTGAATGTTAACTGAATGATATTAGTGTTAAATGAAATTATTTTGACTAGTGCAAGCCTAATGAAGTATCATCTGCTATATTTCTATCTAGAGTCCAGCAAGAAGAGCATTTCAAAAAGGGCAGTCAAATTTGATAAGGATTCAGATGTCTTCATAATCATCACCGAAAAAGACAGGCTCGATTCCATTGTATTTTAGGATAGAATAGAAACTGACTCTGGGATGTGTAGATATGCAGAAGAGTTAGAAGTAGATCCCAAAGAACATATGGATATGATAATATGGGAAAGATTAATAGGAGAAGAAATAATCTATCGTGGTCTTAAGGATGAGAAGGCACAACCTCCTGGCTTGATACTGATGAGAAATGGAAAATATGATAAGCATAGTCTAGAAGAATGGTATGCTTTGGTAAAAAATAAATAAGAAGCCAGTTTATAAGTAAGATATTTTGATAAGAGGATCTTTTTGTTCTTTATAAATAGATAATATAAAATTCTGAATTATTATTATTTTTCGCTTATCCAATTAACCTGTAATTTTCAAATCAAAGTAAACCTATTCCTGCTCAGCCAAGCAGGTAACTTCAATGAGACCTCTGCATAAGTTATATATTTTTTTCATTTTTCTAACCCTTCAATAGCTTTCACCAACTATGAGATAGTGAAATAACAGAATATTTTTTTGAATTGAACTTTTTTATGTGTAATATAATCTAATAGTTTATCACAATCTAATAGTTGATTTGATTTATAATCTCTATTTACATTATCATGTCTACAATTATAACAAAATATGTTACAGATCACAAACTTAACCCAAAGATGAGTAATGGAGAGCTTAGTCAGTATGTACCAGAATTACTCAAGCTCTTAATGGATGGAACGAAAAGAGATAAGAATCATCAGCATCTTAAAGATTGATATAATTTTAGCAAAAAGTAGATATCCATATTACAGTCAGAGATTTTACTAAATGTGATATGATGATCATTACCTTTTATAGTAAAGAATTGTCAATTAAGAATGTTCTAGATATTTCTAGATTTAATAATTTTTTCTTTATTGTATGTATTGATAACATAAAAATAAAAGTAAATTTTAATGATTTGTATTTTTAGCTATAATATTAAAGTGTATTTAATAAATTTCGCGAGATTTACTTGATAAACCTCAAAAATGTGATTGACTTAAATCATCTAAAGTTGGAATTAAAGAATTGATAATTAGTAAATTTTGAGTTTTTGTTAAAGTTGTTTCAGATTTTTAAAGATCTGCTTCTTCACATGTTATGGGAATTGGATGCCAAATTTCTAACGAACTTTTATTAATTAATTTTACTTTAATAAATTTGATTTTTTTCATTTGTACAATTTTACTAAATTTTCCTAGTTCTTCACTTAGCATTTATCCACTAATATTTTGGAAATTTCATTGATCAACATCATTCGGATTTACAAATTGGGATTTTTGTATTTGAACTCAAAATCAGCATAATTCAGTTACAAAATTGAAATGCGTACGAGGTCTATGAGTCTTACTTTCAGAATATTCCATTATACTAAATAGATTAGTATGCAATTTTATAAACTTAGTACAGTTGCATGCTGCAATTTCCTAATGTAGTTGTGAAGGTACAGGAGGAACTAATGATTTAAGTACTCTATTAACTTCTTTGAGTATTGCATCAAGATCTTGATGTTAATTCCAAAGTTCAGATCGTGAAATTAATATCTTTTCTTAGATTAAATCATGAATTTCAGGTTTCAATTGTAACATCTGTTTTTTTATCAATAGCCTTAATCAATTGGTAAATTTGATATTACCTGGTAGAACAAACGGATATAAACATTCATTTAGCAGTAGCTTTTAATAAAGTCTATTTGTACGAACACCTATACAAAAATTAATAACGGCTTGTAAATAAAAAAATCTGTTCATATTTTAGTTGAAATATAGGATCAGTCTGGATTTGGGCCTACAGAATATAGTTAATCTATTTAGAGTAATAATGAAGCTTAGACGTAAGGAGATTTTATGTTAGTATTGTTACTATAAAGCATATGAGGATCGAGTCAGAGATGTTAAGTCTAAGAATGGTGTTGATAACAAATCAGCAAGAACATTGATGTACAGCGAAATCAAACCCCTTCTTCTTGATATTACTGATATAAACTTACGTAAAATAACTTTCAGAGCTAGAAAAATCTATATATTGTTTGATAGGATAGGAATAAATAGAATCCAAATAATTAGTTGTAATGCAAGTGTTATCTCGAATTTATATGATAATCAGATCCAGGACATTATAAATGATTTTCTCAAAAAAGCTACTAATACAGATGATGTAAGTTATGAAGACTCCATTCCAAATTGGAACAGACACGTGACTTCGAAAACCAATAAGACTGAGATATAAGCGAATTTCTTAGGAGTAAGTACATCGGCAAATGATTATTTGCATCCCAATCTAATTCAACTTATGACTGAGCCTATTTTGCAACAAAACATTGGATCAATATCCTATTTTATATAGAGAATTTAGTAGCAAAAATTTCAATTATTATGGAATTACTGACAAGACATTATGCCCATTGTGCAAGTTAGACCATGGCGATAAAGAAAGCATAGAAGGTAGATATAAAACTGGATCCTATTTTATTAAATGTGAATAGCGTGAAATTGAGATAACTGCATAGTCTCATTATTTTATAATACTACATTTGCTCACACTTCATTATGTGATATTTTTTTTACAGGTCAACTACTACCTAATTAAATTTAAATTGATTCATATAAAAAGCAACATGACCAAGTCCAATAAAAATTAACTCCCAAATATCTGGGCTGGCATGCCAAATTAAGTGGGTTACCAAGCGTTTTGACAGATAAGATTCGTACCAAATTATACAAAAGATATAAGCCTCTGATTTCAAGCCTATCACTTACGAAGCCCAGAATTAATTATTGAATCCGTCTTAGAGCATTTCACATACTTGAAATTCAGAAATAGTTTTAGGGGATTGATAATTATAATTTTACATTAGCTCAGCCATGGAACTCATCATGCCCTATTTGTGATGCATGGGAATTATGGATTACACGGCGAATGGTATAGAAATGGAACAGAATACTGTCTTACCTGCAACAGTTCAAGCAATAAACTCAAGTTCACGATTGTGGCTTAGACCGGTCATGTGAGATCAATGCGCAGAAGATATTCGGTAAAATTTCTTGCCGAAGGAATAGGGACTGTGCGACGTGCGAATCGCGTAATATATTCATTTTTTTTCTTTCTAACAAGTGATTCTCATTTTTTTTTTTTTTCTCGCTTCGTGTCGCGTCGCCGGTTCAGGAAAGTGAATATTTATTAAATGTATATTGTGATATTATGAACTTCCAGCAATATCCTACGCACGATTGTGCACCACCGTGAGTTCGTTATGCTCGCGACCCCTTTCGGTCGATGTTTGGCAGCAATAGTCAGGATACCTGCCTTGATGACACATATTTTTCCTGTGTCTACATTGTCACCTACTCCATGGCGATTGTTGACCAGATATTGCGATTTAGCACCTACGCACCGATTGTGCACCACCGTGAGTTCGTTATTCTCGCGACCCCTTTCGGCCGATGTTTGGCAGCAATAGTCAGGATACCTGCCTTGATGACACGTATTTTGTTCTTGTGTCTACATTGTCACCTACTCCATGGCGTTTGCTGACCAGTTGCTATTAAAACAAAGTTCCTAGTTATATATTATTGGACACGTTAAACGCAGGCTGGTTATTAAGCTGATTATCCTTCAATGTTATTTACTTATTTCTAGATCAACAAATGGATTTATACCGACAAATCAACAACTACTTTGACACTGTCAAATACTCCGAATGGAGTATCCTAGATTGCTTGTATTCGATACAGAACCCTATGTTCACATCTGACAGCGCGGACGAAGTCGCGACCATTATAAAAGATATAATTGGAACACGTCGTATATCAAATTCATTATTAGCGAGTGTAAAACGTAAACTAGAACATCTCGAGTCCAAATTTGAGTCCATTTGGACGAATTCCGAAGTCCGACAGTATTTCAGTAAATTGGATCTTTCTCATACAAATGTAAGAGTTAAAAGCATTCGTCGCTCTGGGTTAATAGTCTGACTTATAGCCATACAAATTAGAAAATGTATGAAACACGGGCGATGACAAATATCGTCAAAGATAAAACTGTATTAAATGATGCTCATACTCAAGACTTAGCCAACGTAAGTTTATTTCGGTGCACATACTGTAACTGATTACCGAATGCTTATTATTTTACTTGCCAATTTTTTGAAAGTCGTATGCTGAAAATAGCAAAAAACGGCAACAGCCTGAAAATACACATTACTATGAATCCAAACAAAGGAGAATTGCTGATAACGATACTGGTGACAAATCAGAGACAGGTCCGAATGATGAGGTGGATTTTGATTACAACAAAGTATCCAGTATGGATTCAAACATCGATAGTGATGCCGATGATCATAAGGTATTCCGGGATTATGACGAGTACTGCGAAGAAGAAATCTCAATAGAAAAGGTTTGTATATTAATATCCATGTTATTATCTCTTTTTGTGTTTACCTAATATTCATCCTTTCTCTTAATTTAGACCTTGACTGATCCCATTAAAAGTTAGATTTTGTCGAGTGGGAGAGATGTTAGTGTAATATTGTCTAAATACCGTGAAAAAATTCCTCGCACAAAGGCATACCTCTAGTAAGTTACACTTGATTTATAAGCATAAACATATTTTCCAGTGCCTGCTTCTTAACTTTTAATATTTTATTTATAGTCCGGCTTATTTTGGAATATTAGATCTTTCTGGAGAGGATATCGAAGTAAAAAATTTGTTTACAGATGACGAATGGAATGAGATGATTAAAGATTTTAAAAGTAATGTAAATTTGAGTGATTTGGAACCTGAACAAAATGAACCGTTTTATAAATTAATGGACAAAATTATTGAGGTTAGTGAATTGTAGTATTATCTTTTATTTAGCATATCAACTCATTCTCTGTTCTTATTCTAGGTATTGGCAAAGAATCCTCATGACCTAATTACCGGCATTGAAAGCTGTGTAATTGAAGTACGTATATCACTGTATTGGTTTCTTATGAAAGCGCCAGGTCTAATGATTGTCATTTATAGGAGAATATAAAAGTAAACGCCATTAGACGACTTATTCAGACTTAGTAAGTTTTTTTGCCTATTCCATTATGGCTTTTTGATGGTTATAATATTTAACAATTTTAAAATTAAATAGTGCATACAATCTTCAATTACGATTGCCAATGTCTGAAGTCGCATTTGGAAGCAATTTCACGAACATGGTCACAAAAGGGATATTGACCTTTGGCCAAACCTATCATTATGAAGAGTAAGTTTTTTATTGGATATTCGTTGTTTATACATTTGCTAATTCGAATTAATTTATTATGCAGAGGTGAGATTCAAAGTCTTGCTTCGTCCGTAATTTCCAACCTCAAAACAAAGCCCGCAGAAAGAAGCTTAATCGGTCAAAAAGTTGATTTCAGGATTAGTAAAGACCAATTTGAGATGTTAATTGGTTTAAGATCTGGGGGTCTTCCTACAGCAACAAAAGGGAAAAAACGGATGGATAAGGTTGACTTAGCTGTTTCATTGCGAGATGTGTTGGCCAATGAAGGTATGGAAAACAATGGTGTAGAACCAAGCAGGTTCCAAAAACTTTTTGTTCTTGGAGTACACTCATACAGTAAGTTCAATCACTTTGAATGTTTTTTCCGCTACATTCTTGATATATGACTGATCTATTCAATTTAGATTATAATTATAATATATATGGACTGGACTGGTGTAAAGGTGTTTGGCGTTTAGGTTTATTACAAAAGGTTAAACTACCAACATCATTTGATTATTTGCCAGCTATAGAGAAGTTTATAATATCTTTGCTACGTGTGGAGGTAGAATATCTCATTCACTTTAATTATATCTATATGGTTTGTTAATCTTTGATTATTTTTTTGATAGGAAACTTTACATCGTATTCGAAAAACCCATTATGAAATATTTATCGAAAAGTCAAGATTATATCGAAACCGACGAACATCATTACGTGTCATGGACTATTCTATTTGTGAACAAGGTCGCACAACTCGTACAAGAAAAGCAAAGGAATAATTTTTCCGTTATATAAAAAATCATTAATCTATGATGTTATCATGTGAGTAAAGTAAAACCACGTGATAAAATTTCCGTCTCAAAAATAAATGCCAAGAAAATTTTCGATCATATGTAACATCAATATCAATACAATGAAATAATTCCAGAAATAAATATACATGCAGAAATAAACATGACTATATAAGCGAAATCAAGCCAATCTGATTAAATACCTAAGAATTTGTTTCTGCAACTGATCATAAATAACATTGGTAATCTTATACGAAATGTTCATAATGCGTCACATTACTGCGCAAAGTGTCCAGAATTTTCATTTTTGAATAGTTATGCATATGAATAAATAATCTGCGGGAGATAATACCGTGGCTCACAAAAAAAAAGCATCACCCGGCAAAAAAATTTAAATTATAAATATCTTTTATTTTTAGTTATTGTACGACAATAAAAATTGATTCATTTTAATTGTTAATTAATTGATCTTCGCTTTTTGTATGCAATTAATAAAAAACATATTTATGTAAATGTAATAAATGAATATAATTATATTTTAAGTGATGCATTTCTTTTTACTGATTTTTAACAAAAGATCGCGTAATATTAAATTCATTAAAATATAAGATAATTGTTATATAAAAGTATATATAAAAAGCTTTAACAAAATGAAAGAATTCATAAACTGATATTTTTTTACCTTCAATGCCTCGAATATCAATAGAAAAACGATCATGTATCCATACTCTTCATCAAATGGGATTTTCAACTAGAGAGGTTGCAGCTCAAGTAGGTGTTAATCAATCATCGGTTGTACGAATATGTAAAAAATTTAATGAAACAGGAAATTTTGATGATCGAACTAAATCTGGTCGCCCAAAATCCTTGAGTGAAAGATATGAACGAAAACTCTTACGTTACATTCGTTCTGGAGAGTGTTTTACAGTCGTTGAAGTACAATCCAAGTTTAGAGTTGATGAAGGAATTGTTATTTCAGCTGAAACTATACGTAAAATATTCAAAAAAAATGGATTAGTTGCTAGAACTAAAAAGAAAAAGCCTTATTTAAAAAAACCCATAGAAAAAAACGATTAGAATGGGCTAAAAAATATAAAAATTGGACTGTTGAAGATTGGCGAAAAGTTATTTGGTCAGATGAAAGTAAATTTCTTATATTTAATTCTGATGGGCGGCAATATTGTTGGAAAAAACCAACAGAACTTTTAAAAGACCAACATGTTATACCAACAGTTAAATTTGGTGGAGGTGGAGTAATGGTCTGGAGTTGCTTTACAACTAATGGAGTTGGTAATTTGGTTAATATTGAAGGAATCATGAATGCTGATCTTTATTAGCAAATATTAGATGGTGGTTTTTTAACAACACTTTCGCGATATAATTTGGATAAGAATTATATATTTTTTCAACAAGA